CATGCCAGGCGAGCGCGCTACCGCTTGAGCCACATCCCCAGCCCAATAATGAGTAATTTTTTAGAACAAAAACATTTAAATCATTTGAGATACTGAGATTTATGTAMATAAATATTGATTCTAGAGCTTCATATGCATTTTCTAATCAATTTATACCCCAGACCATTTTTACTAAGATATTTTAAATGAAACTTCAGAGTCAAACATTTAATATATGACATATATATGGTAAAAAAATCTCAGAATTGTTAATTAAAGATGGTGAAAAGAAAAATTCTACTCTGGTTTTCTGGAGGCAATTTAGGTAGAGATAGGTTATAGTCCAAGTATTCCTATACTTGACTGTGGCTTATGCAAGAACAATTTCCATAAGAAATTTGCAATGATAAATATGAAGACATTTATTTTCTATTTATGATGCATTTTAATGTATTGAAAACAAATTATTTACAAACAGTATAGAAAATTTATATTGTTCTCTCTTCTTTGAATAGGTTATGTGGGTATGCAATTTATGTCGAAAGCAACAAGAAATCTTAACCAAATCTGGGGCATGGTTCTTTGGAAGCGGCCCTCAGCAGCCTAGTCAGGATGGAACCTTGAGTGATACAGCTACAGGTGCTGGTTCTGAGGTACCGAGAGAAAAGAAAGCACGACTCCAAGAGAGATCAAGGTCTCAGACTCCCCTGAGCACAGCTGCTGCCTCCTCCCTGGACACTGCTCCTCCCAGTGCACCACCAGACAGGAGCAAAGGGGCTGAACCTTCACAACAAGCCATGGGGCCGGAACAGAAGCAGGCGTCATCCAGGTCTAGAAGTGAACCTCCAAGAGAYAGGTAATAGTTCATTAATCCTGTAAACAAAAGTTAAGGTCTTCTTGAAGAACAAACACATTTTTAAGAATTTAACTTCGACTGGGAGGAATATRTAGAAATAGCACTTCTCAGGCCATACACAGAAGGCAACAACAGGCCTAAGCTGTTTTGTCTATTCCTAAAATGTCTGTTCCATAGGAGACCTTTGTTGAAAAACTTCTTTCCTACCATGCACAATTGTAAGGATAAAATAAATCATTTGATTGAGCTACTAATTTCCAACCTTGAACTAAAAAAAAAAATCTCTTAGATCATTGTTCATTTTTAAATTAGTTCTTTAATTAAAAGTGTTCTCTGAACCAATATGGTAAGGGAACAGGATCTATTGAAGGATGCACTGGAACATCACAGAATTTACAAGAAGGGTGGGATGAGCCTTCAGATATCTGCATAGGCTTGTGGCCTGAAAGAAACAGTCTGATGTGAGGATGTACTCAAGGATACCCATTGGTATAATGCAAGTACCATAGGAAGAGTGATAGGAGGTGGCTGGTGAGGTAGTGAGGTGTTTTAGTTAGTTTTTTATTGCGATGACCAGAAGATATAACAAGGAAAATGTAGAAGAGGAAAAGTTTATTTTGGCTCACAGTTTCAGAGGTTCAGTCTAGTCCATAGCTCTGGGGCTGAGGTGAGGCAGAATATCATGCCAAAAGGGTGTGGTGGATTGACATAGCTTAGGAAATGACAATCAGAAAGCAGAGAGAGATCTCTGCTCACTAGGGACAATGTATAAATTTCAAAGGCATACCTTCAGTGACCTACTTCCTCAGCCACACCCCATCTGCCTACAAAATTCTTGCTCTGTCTTACACATGAGTTTTGGGGGGATACTTAATACCTAAACCATAGCATCCTGTCCCTGTACCCCTGAAAGCTCATGCCCATCTTATAATTCAAAGTACATTTAATCAGCTGGGCATGGTGGCACATACCTGTAATCCCAGTGGCTCAAGAGGCTGAGGCTAGAGGATCATGAGTTCAAAGCCAGCCTCAGCAACAGAGAGGTGCTAAGCAACTTAGTGAGAACCTCTCGCTAAATAAAAATATATAAATTAGGGATAGGGATGTGGCTCAGTAGTTGAGTGCCCCTGAGATCAATCCCTGGTACCATCCCTTGCACCAAAAGAATATTCAGTTTATTTCCAAGAGTCCCTATAATCTCAACAATTCCCGCATTGTCTAAAGTTCTAGTGGAAGATCTCATCTGAGACTCAAGATGAACTCTCAGCTATGAGAGTAAAGATGAAAAACAGGCTACATAACTCCAAAATATAATGGCGTGGAGTAAACATTTCAATTCCACAAGTGAGAAACAGAAAACAGAAAGAAGGGATAGGACCAAAGCAAGACTGAAATCCAGCTGCACAAACAAGTTCTGTAGCTCCACAGCAGACATCTATCTGGGGCATATGGTATTGAGTTTTCTCCAAAGGGCTTGTATAGAGTGTTCATGGAAGTTCGTTCGTTCTCTCTCTCTCTCTCTCTCTCTCACTCTCTCTCTCTCTCTCTCTCTCTCTCTCCCCCCCCTTTGTTGTTCCCTTCCTCCATGATGTTTCTCCTCACCTTGAGCCCAGAACTATAGGGTTGGCTGACCATGGATTGAACCTCTGAAACTGTGATCCAAAATAAAACTTTGGTCCTCTAAATTGTTCTTTTCAGGTCTTTTGGGCACAGAGACAAAAAGCTAAATGAAATAGAAATTGATAACAGGAGTGGGGTAATTGCTGCTTCTAATACATGAGGGGACAGGTTCAATTTTCCAGATTTTATCCTAAGCATGATGGCATGCCACTGAAGATTTAAACAAGGGATAATGTGACCAGGTAATTTATTTCAATCAATTGCTTGATTCATTAATAAAATGTATTTATGGACAAGACAGTGCTATACTGTAGGAAATAGTGCTAACAAGGATGACATAGCAATTCTCATCATGAGGCTTATAGTGTAGGGGATCTGTTAGGATTTGAATTAGGCTCAATTACTTTTGTCTAACTCTTATTTATCCCACTAAGTAATAGTAGGCTCCAAGTCATCTTTTGATCCCCTTTTCAAATAAAGTTCATACTATATGATCTGGCACTTCAAAATTAAGCAGGTCAGGATAACAGTCAAGACTCTACCATTATAACCACCTCACAAGGTGTGGCAAGAATTAAAGGACAGTGTATGTTTCCAAACTGGCACATGGTAGGCATTCTGTGAATATGCCTATTATTGAAGTTAGCAATCATAATGTTTATTTACTTGTTTTCAATTCTTGAAGATTTCTTGTTTGTATTTTGCACATTGATCAGGACCTAGTAGAAATAAAACAAAAGTTGAGGTGAGAAAAAAAGTATAATTAGTGGAACAAAGAGACAAGATGGAGAATACTTTCCATTTGCATAACACTCAACTCTTCCATAAAGCATCTCCACAGTTGGTTTTCTTTACTGCTCAYATGAACTCTGGGAGGCAAGCAAGTGTTATGTATTAGCATTTCAAGAAAAGCAATTGATTCAATATAAACTTCTATCAAGAGCATCTCTGCTTTAAGGAGCTACCAAATATTTGTATACAAGCATCACACTCATATGAAAGCTATCTTTGATAATGAATAATATGTGATTATACTAGACACCTTACACTGTAAAGACCATTATTTCCTTCAGGACCAAATCCCTTTCATTTCAAAGGGATCTTGAAATTCTTTACTTTTTCTCTTTACTATAACCAGCATGTTCTTACTACTACTCCCCACAACATATCTTAGTAACTGCACCTTTGCTAAACCACTGGAGAAATTGTCCAACTTTTTTTACCCATTTTTGCCTGTATTTTTCTCTATTTTCATTGTTGACACCTGCTTTTGGATTCCCAAACAGTGATATAACCTTTGAAGAGTCTTCCTTTCAGACCTTAGAATTCCAAAATAAGCCTTGGGTTGCTTCCATTTGAATGGAACATTAGATCATATAAATACACTTAGCTAAGTTATCTAGTTTTTAAAGCTTCTGGCATAATAGCTGGAACTTCCCCAAACCAGGTGCACTTCAGTGTACAAGGAAGTACTGAAAGGGACAACAGAATGATACATTTACCAGACTGAAAGATCACCAAACCCCTTTCCTTTACTTTTWTCTTTGCCAGTATGTTTGACAGCATAGGAAAAAGTAGAACTCCAAACTATTTGCTTCTCTTGGATCCTATTCTGAAATGAGTAGAAAGAGAGGGAGGAAGGGAGTATGAATAACACTTTCAAAAATTGCCAATGTTTCTATTATTGTTACTTGAAGAAGTTAGAACCAACTTCTGAAAAAGTGTTTGAGTGTGATCAAGTCAGAAATTAATTTGTTCTACTATTGATGAAGTGCTATTAGAATTGATTTCTGAAATGGACATTCTTGTACTTACATTTCAGTTATAAGTGATTGTTACCGTATTATCCACACATATCAAATATATATTTGGTTTTGAAGTAATATATGTATATATTATTCTGCTCCTATACTAACTATAGTATTTTCATCGAAGACATTTTTAAGTCTTTGAGACACAAACAGAGGGTAGCATAAAATTTGTCCATTGATTGAATTAATTTATTAATGTATTTTATTGTTTCAGTTAAAATGAAAAACTTACATTGTGAAAATAACTTTTCAAGTCTTTGAATATATTGTGTTGCAAAGGGGTCATAAAAAAACTTAAGCAATACAGGTTTAATGGAGCTCTTCATCATCTCAATTAATTAGACGTGGGATTCTAATTATTTGGAATGCTTCAAGACTGGAATGCAAGATGAAATGTTACTTAGGTCTTTTCCTTAAATTTAATCAATTGCTTTCCTTCATGACGTTCCTTTGCATATCACAGGAAGAAGGCTCCAGAGCAGAATGGCAAAGGAGCCCTGAAGAGCGAGAGGAAACGCGTGCCAAAAACCTCTGTGCAGCCAGGGGAGGGGGCTGTGGAAGAACGGGAACGGAAAGAAAGGCGGGAAAGCCGAAGGCTTGAGAAAGGGAGATCACAGGACTACCCCGACGTGCCAGAAAAACGAGAGGATGGAAAAGCGGCGGAGGATGAGAAGCAAAGGAAAGAAGAGGAATACCAGACCAGGTACCGCAGYGACCCGAACCTGGCGCGGTATCCGGTGAAAGCGCCGCCTGAGGAGCAGCAGATGCGCATGCACGCCCGGGTGTCCCGAGCGAGGCACGAGCGGCGCCACAGCGACGTGGCGCTCCCGCGCACCGAAGCGGGAGCCGCGCTACCAGAAAGCAAGGCCGGCAAGCGAGCGCCGGCCGCCGCCAGGGCCTCCCCGCCGGACTCGCCCCGGGCCTACTCGGCCGAGAGGACTGCGGAGACCAGGGCGCCCGGCGGCAAGCCGCCAACGAACCACAGCCCGCCTGCGCCCAGGCATGGGCCGGTCCCCGCAGAAGCCCCGGAGCTCAAAGCCCAGGAGCCCCTCAGGAAGCAGAGCCGCCTGGACCCCAGCTCAGCGGTGCTCATCAGGAAGGCCAAGCGCGAGAAGGTGGAGACCATGCTGCGGAACGACTCCCTGAGCTCTGACCAGTCTGAGTCCGTGCGGCCATCGCCGCCCAAGCCGCATCGGTCTAAGAGGGGCGGCAAGAAGCGGCAGATGTCAGTGAGCAGCTCAGAGGAGGAAGGCGTGTCCACTCCCGAGTACACCAGCTGCGAGGACGTGGAGCTAGAGAGCGAGAGCGTCAGCGAGAAAGGTAAGGGCGCGGCGCTGTCCCTGAGCTGGGACTTTAGCCAGGCTTCCAGGTGCCTGTGCCAGGGTGAGAGAAGTTTGAGTGCTCGGTTAGAGATGCGTGTGAGCCAAGCTCAGTGGTGTGTGTGTGTGTGTGTGTGTGTGTGTGTGTGTGTGTGTGCTCGCGCGCCCGCGCACACGTGCCAAGCTTAAAGATGCATGTGGGCGGGGTTAGAAATTCGTGTGTGCAGGGTTAGAAGTGAGTATGCTACGATCTGAATGTACATGTGCCCTGGTTAGAAGTGCACATGTTCCAGGGCTGGAGGTGAGGTTTGGAATGCTCATGGACAGTGATTCATCCAATGGAAGGTTTTTGACGGATTCATTGATTGATTGATGGGATTTTTAAAAGAAAGAACTATAAGCTCTAAAGTTGAGTTAGGAGGCTTTCTAACTGATTTTGGTCCCAGTCATTTTGGGAAATGGAGTACACACTCATGTTTTTTAAGTTATTTGGGTGTGGGTTTCTTTGGAGAAAATAACTGATTTTCTAGAAAACAAAAACTGTACCCCATAAAGAATAATGTACTTTTTTTCTTCCAAAACTTCAGTTGGGTATATTTGAGTCACACTGGTAGCATTTGTCAAATTTCAAGCTAATTCTCCTCACAACTTGTGAAGAAATTACATCATGAGGGTATTATACATTGAGTTTGGGGTAGTAACTTTGAGGTATGAAGTTCACATTCCAGAAGTTTGGGGGGCATGGTGTGAAAGGCTGACTTTTTTTTTAAATGTCTAAATCTGCACTGTACAATATACTATAGCCTCATGTAGCTGTTTAGACATAAATTAAATAAAATTCAATAAACTTAAAAATTCAGTTTCTCCATCATACTAGCCACATTTCAGGTGTTCAATGGGGATAACCACAAAAAGTCCCATTAGGCAGTGCTTATCTAGAAAATACTTCAATTTAAAATCAATTTTCATACATTTTTGAAGGTTATTCTCATTTTGATTCTGTTTTCTCAGATTTAAACTGACCAGAGTCTCACTTTGATGGTAGTCATCATCATTGCTGCAATGTTGAGGTCATTGGGTGATTCTTAATGAATTTTTATTTTGGGGATTTTTTTTTAAATTATTGGCTTGCTTTGTAATTGCTAATGATGTACTAGGTATTATATACTTTATTTAAGAGTCATTTTTCTTTCTCATCTTCTGTCTCTGAACTGCATGTCCATGTCCTCCCCCTGCCACATATATGCTCAATCTCATGCTTTATGAAGAAATAATTTAAAAAGCTAGTTCTACCATTATTATTGCAAATCAACTTGAAATAGGAGTCTTTAGAACATATGAACACAGGATAAGTTTACCTCTCATTAGCTTGCCTTCTGATCACTTCTCTTTATAAGTTGCATAGGATCTACAGGCTTTAAAAGTCAGTTGATGAGTAGACTTTGTTAACTGCCTTTTGTTTTCCCCCAAAGTAAAAAAGTAGGTGTTCAACAAATATATAAATAGATGAAGTTAGTTGGTGTAAGGAGAACTCTTGATGGATGTGGACATTGTATATTTTCTTTGAAGAAAGGACACTACACCAAATCTTATTTAAAGTGTGTTGTGTATCATAATGGGGGACAGAATTGATCCCCCCAATTATTGAAAATACCAATAAATGAATAAAGAAAACCTGAACAGGGGCTTGGGAAATTGGAGGAATGGGGCTGGTATGACATGGTGAATTTATTGCCTCTTCAGGCTATTTTTCTGGAAATTTATCATTCTAGAAACTTTGRTGACTTCTTGGGATACACACATCTCTAAAGCTAGTGTTAAACCTCTTCATCTGGGAACACAAGGTCATCACATATACATTTATCTATTATTAATAGTATTTTTAAAATTTTGAGACAGGGTCTCACTATGTTGCTTAGGGCCTTTCACTAAGTTGCTGAGCCTGGCTTTGAACTTTTGGTCCTCCCACCTCAGCCTCCCTAGGTGCTAGGATTACAGGAGTTCACCACCCTGCCCAGCCCCATAGTATATAATTTTAAAGGGACAATGGGAAACAAAAATAAAATTTTACTATATCCTAAGCATTTGTTTGTTCTGTTTATCCCTTACAGGTATAAATTAAACCATTTAAGAAAATTCCTAGTCCATGGTAATTATTTAATATATATGTACTATTCTTTTCATTTGATATTATTATGTTTTACTACTCTGATGAGTTGATTCTTATATTTACTAGCAAATATGTATTTAGCACTTTCTGTGGATATGCTGAGGTTAAAAGATAAATATGTTCCCTTCCCTCATAGAACTTACATTCTGTTGGGAGAAGTAATCAATAAAAGTTAATTGCACAATAATATATAATTTCATAAATGTTTTAAAGAGATATTTCTGTTTCATATTGACGTACTTTTACTATGTGCTAAAGTATTTTTTTAACAAGAAAAGATAATCCAGTCAAAATGGCATCTAAAAGATAGCACAGCTGGACATGGTGATAATTGCCTGTGATCCCAGCTAGGAGAAAGTCTGAGGCAGGAGGATCACAAATTTTAGGCCAGCCTCAGCAATTAAGGGAGACCCTTTCTCAGAAATAAAAGTTGAAAAGGGTTGGGGATGTAGTTAGCCTAGAGGAAAGTGCTTGCCTAGCATGCACAAAGGCTCTGGGTTCAATCCCCAATAATAATAAAAAAGGGAAATAAAAGCCATTACAGCCTGTATATTCAACATATAATCTTTCATATGTAGTTTAATTCTGTTCTCTCTCTCTCTCTCTCTCTCTCTCTCTCTCACACACACACACACACACACACACACACACACACACACAGTGAGTGACCTCTGTACTGGGATTATCCAAAAATTGAGGTCAACTACCTCTTTTTAAACATAAGTGACATTCGTATTGCTGTAGTCAAGAGGGAAAAACTGGACATCTCTTGTCTACTAGCTTGTAAATATTAACTACTATAAATTTCTCTACAGAGAAAAAAATAACAATAAAGTAAATATTGATTGCAAAATAAGGTTTTGAATTTAAATRAAATCTGTAATATAATCCATTAGGAGAAGGTCTAGTGAAAATTTATGCCTCTAAGGAAGTGATTAAAGAGGTTTATTAGTAAAGAAAGATGGAGATGGTGCCAATGTTGAGGATAGAAAAATTGTTCAATTTCTGTGAAGATACATGGGAACATTGCTGCCTTGTTTCAAGTGGGTAAGTCACTTATACTTGTAAGGACCTTACTATATTCATTTTAAGATATAATATGCAATATATTATATATTTATATATAAGGACTTAATAATATATTAGTCCTAAGCTGGAAGGAGTTGGAAGAAGAATGTGGCATTGTATAACAGAATTTCTTTCCTTTTTTATATTTTCCTTAATTGACTTTGAGTTAATTAAAGAATGCAATAAAAATTAAGCAAACCTTTGAACTTGTTCTTTTTCAATTTTTGATACTAGATATTGAACCTAGGAGCCTTGTGCCACCTAAGTTTCCATTCTGCCACTGAGCTATGCCCTCCTCACCTGCCTTAGAACTTTTAAATTGCTAATGAATGACTGATGTTTATAGGAGATGGAAAAGGTAGAGTAGCCTGCTTTTGGACAGAAGACCTTGCCAAGTAGGCAGGAAAAGTGTGGTGGTAAAGGATAAAGCCGTCTGATGTGATTCATCTCTCAAGAGACCCTAGACTCAGTGGATCTGGAAATGAGAAAGAGAGCTGTTTTTGGGAGGTTCACTTAATATTTTTTGATAGGACAACTATAACACACTCTTCTTCATACCTCTTGTACAAAGTGAAGGCTGAAATTTAATTCCTAGGTAGAAATCAATTGAAATTCAGTGAAAGGCTTCAGTGAATCTCAAAGAAATTGGAACTCTAAGACTCTAAAATTCTCACCCTCATGACCCAGCATTGTACCTCACATCTAATTTACCTAAAGAAGGATACCAGTTAATTTACCCCATTTGTTAACAAATTTCATTTTAGTATTATTGTCTACAGCAGCAGAATAGTTAAGATCTATGTGGAAATGCTCTCTCTTGCTGCTCACAAGAATCCATCCAGTACCCGATCTCAAATATCAATGAACAACAATGTCCATTAGATATGAAAAGTACCAGCAGGATGAACCACAGGAGATCAGGATAATCCAAGACACATTTACTTTAGAAGAAACAATTCAAGAGCAGGAAAGGGCTTAAAATCAAACAGAACAAAATGTTACACATCTTAGTGAAGTTTAGTATATCTGAAATGCCTAAATCTCATTCACAGGAAAGTTTGACTTCCCAAATACAGATATTCTTTGTAAAATTTTTTTAGATATTAAAGTTGTTAATCAAACTCATAGAGAAATTTTGGATACCAAAACCCTTAGCATTGATGAATTTGGACAGAAGGACAAAGTACAAGACTATACAACCGAACTCAAGATTACAAGTTTGCCTGCACAGGTAATTCTCCTAGCCAAAAAATACAGCATCATGATCAGAAACATTAAAATAAAAATTAATGTAAAGTTTATGAACTCCTTTGGATCCAGAAAGAGGTAGCTATGAAATTAGCTATGAGGATGATAAAATAAGAAATAATATATTATCTAGTCTCCAACACCTGGATAATAGATAATATACTACTGACTGAACAATGGGTTGCAGAAGATATCAAGGAAGAGATTAAAAAAGTTTTAGAGGTGAATGAGGTGAATGAGAACACAGATACAACATATCGAAATCTCTGGGACACTATGAAGGCAGTTCTAAGAGGAAAGTTCATTGCATGAAGTTCATTCCTTAAAAGAAGAAAAAGTCAGCAAATAAATGACTTAACATTACATCTCAAAACCCTAGAAAAAAGAAGAACAAATCTGCACCAAAAGCAGTAGAAAAAAGGAAATAATTAAAATCAGAGATGAAACTGAATTAAAAGAAACAATTGAAAAAATTGACAAAACAAAAAGTTGGTTATTTGAAAAAATAAATAAAA